ATATATATATATATATATATAAAAATAAATAAATATATATATTATATGCCTACATAAATGTAATATATACCTACAAATCAAACTAAAAGTTGTATTATATAAATAACTAAATAAATAAGAATAAAATAGAACATAATACATAATTTAACATAATGGTGTGTAAGTGTGCGTGTGTGCGTTTATGCATGTATGTGTACGTGTGTTACCATGTTAAGTAAAAGACAAACAACTATAGAGTTAGATAAAATTCCTTAACTAGTTTTTTAAATTGTGATATAGTTTGAGCTCGCCTCACTGTAATCGGTAGAGCATTCCACAACCGTGCAGCTTGTACTGTATAGGACTTGTCGAAAAAGGTAGTGGAATGCAAACAGATGTTTAATTTCAGGCTCTCCGATGATCTCAAAAACTTCGTATGTGTGTTGCCAAGGTACGTAAAACGCTCTTTTAGATAAAAAGGGGTAGTGGGATTAAAGAGTATATTGTATAGAAGTGAAAGAATGTGAGTATTCCGGCGAAGGCGAATAGGCAGCCATTTGAGCTTGTTGCGGAACTCGGAGACATGGTCATATTTGCGCAATCCAAATATAAACCTGATAGAAAGGTTTTACGTTTAAATATTACGTTTCTTGTCAAAAAACAAAGTTTAATTTAATATTTACGTAATTTTTAAGCCTATGTAGCCTTTTTTCAACGCCGTTGGTGGTGCCAGATTTAAAGATTGGTGATTTGTTGACAACTAAACGCTTTACGTTAGCTGTGGCAGGAGAGCCAGATTGTCTTTTGAGTGTGATAGTGTGATTTTAATTTGTGTGTGTGTGTAATGTCGGTATCGGTCGGTGAATTTTCGTGAGGTGTATGCCGGCTAAAATGTGTTATAGATTACTTGGAAAGAAAACAGTGATATCATAAGTAAAAGTCGTTAGTTTTGTCGCTATTATAAATACTTATTTGTGGCTTTATAACTGATACATGTGGTTTATTTTGCAGATGTAATGTGATAATGACATGAAGTTTCTTGAGAGCAAATCAATATGGCTCTCAAGCTTGGAAAATGCAGGCTCTGCCTCAAGCTTGGCGACTTTTACTCCATTTTCACGGTCGACAATGCTTTGCAGCTTGCGGAGATGGCAATGGAATGCGCCCGGGTGAAAGTGAGTCGTAAAACTTGATTCGTTAACACTGGATACTTCGATCGGAAAATCGGCACATTATCCCTCTTTCTTTTTCATGTCTTACCTAACTTTAGTGTAAAAGTGCAATAACAATATCTCATATTACAAATGTATGAAAACGTGCTGATGAAAAGTTTCCAATTACAGAACACACATTAAATGTTAATTGCTGTTTTCGTTGAAATAAAGAAAGGAAATTTATTTAGTCCTGATATAACTCTTCATGACAGTTATCTTGATGCTTAAATAAGTAATTACTTATAAACAAACTAAATTATTTCGAAATAATTTATTAAATATTAAATGAAATGAATGTACACTTGTAAAACAACTTGTTAAACTTTATAGTATGTTCTAATATTTTAAATAGTAAATTGATTTTGTTTTATCTGCTGTTGTGATATTGGGTAAGAAAAACACTGCAATGCAATTAGTCAGTTGGAGTTTGTTACACCTCCTTATTATCCCTATGATGTGAGAGGTCTGCTAAGATAACCAGCATTTTAGAAGAAAAGGTACTAATTAGACAGACCAGAGCAATTATGGGAATTTTTGTTTGCTATAGACACTGATAAAATAATGAATAATAAACAATTAAGTTATTTTCTATTGGCGCAAATGTGCACTTTTGTGTCCTGTTTAGGTAATAAAATCACATTTTTTAAAGTTAAATTAACCTAGCTGCAGATTTTTGTTTATAATCTCCTTTCTTGCCTCAATCTGGCCGAAGAAGGTTTGTGCATGTTTGGATTGAGATTTATTTTTATCATTCATGAACAGCCGGCAAAAGTCCATTGCTGAACAAAGGCTTCTCCCTTAGGCTCCTTCATGTCCAACAAAAAATTTGCCATCTGCATCCACTGCCTCCCCGCAATCCTGGCGATGTCATAGATTTACCTAGCGGATGGCCTGCCCATTTTGACATTCTTTCTAGAGAATTAGAGTTCCTACCAAACAACAATTTTGGATTGAGGTTTATTATTTGTTTTGGTAATAGGTAACTTACCATAGAATTTGTTTTTTTTTGTAGATTTATGAAGGAGATGGGCTCCCTGACAAAGTATGTTCAGAGTGCATACAGAAACTAAGCAGTGCATACATATTCAAACAGCAGTGTGAACGATCTGATCAGGAGTTACGCCGCAACTATGTCCCACCACCAGGTAAAACTTAATCAAGTTTCTTAAACAAAGTCAGATATGATTACTTTAGATCTGCACGGTTGGCGCGTTGGCTGGGCAACTGGCTGCCGCGCAACGTGTCGCGGGTTCGATTCCCGCACGGAACAATTCTTTGTGTGATCCACAGATTGTTGTTCCGGGTCTGGGTGTCATGTGTATGTGAACTTGTATGTTTGTAAACGCACCCACGACACAGGAGAAAATCCTAGTGTGGGGCAACGTTTTTTTAAATTAAAAAAAAAAAAAAATCTCGATATTGATTGCACAATAAATTTCTAGGATTTAGCGTCAGTCCCCCACCACCTAACAGACAGAGCAGTGATTCTGCCTTTTCAAACCACACTGACACTTCCAACCTGACCAAACCTCCGTCTTCCATTGAAGAAAAAGTAACTCCCACTATTAGAAACAGGAAACGTAGTGTGGACAGTATCGACAACGGTTCCATTGGCGGCGCGTCCAGTGACTACCGACCCGGTAGCTCCAAACGTGTCGACGAACTAAGGAGGACCCAAAAAAGAAGAAAACAGTCTGACAATGCTTCACAATTAGACTCGGATTACGATGACAACAGCGCCTCGTACTTACCCGAAACGGATTCCGACGATTCCTCGCAAAAAAACAGCTTTAAGTGTGATTACTGTCCCAAACAATTTCCGTCTCCTAGGAGTCTCATAAACCATAAGAGAATACATGAAAAGAAAGAAACTTTGGGCCAAAACGCAGTCGTTAATATACCAGTAGAGACACAGGATGCAGCTGATGTAGAGGACAAACTGAACTGCGATAAATGTGGAAAGACCTTCAAGTTAAAGATCATGTTGAAGCGTCACGTAGACATTTGTGTGAACACAGCGAGTCCAGCTAAATCTCCGCAGAAAGAGTTACTGATCTCCCTACAACCAATCGACGGTATGGCAAACCGCAACATTATTTGCGAAATGTGCTCTGCCAAGTTCAAGACCACTGACAACTTGGCAAAACATATGAAGGTAGTCCATGCTGCAGTTTTGAAAAGGGAAGAAAAGCAAAGGGAAAAAGTTGCAGTGCCATGTCTTTACTGCAGCCAACTCTTTGATGATTATTATATTCATTCTGCACATTTCAATTCATGTTCTAAGAAGGATGATACTAAACCGTACGAATGTCCTGTTTGTAAGAAAGTGGCGACCAGAAAGACCTCGTATTTCCAACATATAAAGAACATGCACTTTGAACCTAGAATGTTGCACACGAAGACCTCAGTGGAGCCAGAAGCTCAGGAGTGTCATGAGTGCAGGATGTGCTCCAAGAAGCTACCTTCACAAGAGATGTTAATTCAACATTTAGCGGCGCATATGTCGCATATCGATGAGAATGACGGCGCTGACAATGAATCGAGGTATGGTTTTATATAAGGTGCTCTATAATTTTATGCCACGGCTTTAATGGGAGGTAGTGTTATGTTTACAGATTACAATAGTGAAGAAATTTCGTACCCCGGACCAGTTAATTACATAAAGTAATTAAGTAAACATTGACTACATTCTGCATAATGTGGTTCACAAATTACGCGCGATCCGTCGCTTAGTCAATGAAAACAATTGCTATCTCTTTCCACGTGTACTGAGAATGAAAACGGAAATCAGCTGACTAGTTCGTCACTATCTAATCTACTAGATACTCAATAGGCAGGCTAACAAGGGTTTTAAAAGTGCAATTACTTACCAGGTACGGCATTCTTCCGAAAAGCTGATGTAGGTTAATATGATTATAAACATCCCATTACACTTAAAACAGTTTTTTACACACTTTTACAGTTATTTACACACTCTCTACCTACTTATCTACAA